AGGAGGAGGGTGTGGGGTGCTCAAGGACCGTTGAATAATAATCTGGACTTTCAGAACGGTGATAGACATTTGCATTTTTTTATAGAGCGAGTTACTTCGAAACAGGACCAGTAATTTTAGTTAGATGCATCGATAATAATAATAATAATAATAATCGTTTAAAGTCCGCTCCAAATTGTATTAAGTTAAACCAAAAATGGAAATGCAGGTGCTATATCAGGGCTGTTTTAAAGCGGTTTGTAATCGATAATAGATTGAATGATTACATCGAATGTTTCCAAACATTGAATTTTGATAAAAATGTCCAATCAAAGATTCACCTTTGCAATGATGAAAATAACGTTAGTTTTTAATATCTTCGCACAGCTACTTTAATACTTGCATACTAAAAAAGATGAAAGAGGGATCACTGTATACCGCTCCTTTTGTATTTAACTTTTGACAACAATTGGTTGAAAACAAGCGGAGAAATACATATATCATGGAGAAGACTTTAGTACGTGTCGTAATATAGCGAAAGTCGATAATGACATTAGCACACTTCGGTTAGAATATGATTTGGGTTAAGTGAAATGTTGAATAACACGGTGCGCATCTTTAAAAGAAATTGAGAATGACGGATGCACAAGATTTATTTTTGTTGTTCGTTCTGATCAGTCACAGTATGCTACAGTTTCTGAAGGACGTCTAGTATTAGATAAAGCAGTAAATTGATGAAATTATCCGCCTGGTTGTTACACATCAGAGTAATATCTAAATTGATTTTAGGTGACCTCTCATAACATTAGCAGTCGACACGTAACGACTTTACTATTAGATGTTTTAAAGTCATCTTGCATAAGACTGAGATGTATGTAACGTCACTGCTGAGTATTTGCTCCCCGAAAAATTCTTGCTTCAAGTTCGCTTAGAAGAAAGATGCAAACACATGCCTAGGTGGATTATAGAATTGTTCAATATTATTTTCCTAAAAGTTTATTGATACGTTTCAAAATGATAACCATCAAATGATAACTCACATATTATATAAATGATACATGTGCATGAGTTCATTATACGATCTATCCGCACTCGAGTTGAGGTTGTGTGTATCTATGGCACGAAGCCAGTATGCTGAGTGCGATAGATACACACAGCATCAACAATGGCGGATAGATTGTATAATGAACGAATGAAAACATGCATCGTTTGTTTTATACAACGAAACTCCTAGATCCTTGTTATTTGATGTAAAAAGAATTCATTCAAGATTGTTTCGTGACAGTATATGGCTGACAAATAAATCTCAAGTTTAATAACGCTTAATTTAGTGTGCACACATAGTATAGTATTAATGTCTGCTTTGAGAGAAATAGTTGTTTTTATACGCTCAAGGGAAGGTTAGAATTGTGCTATTGCCCCGAGGCGTGCCGAGGGCAATAGCCCAATTGCAACCTTCCCGAGAGCGTATAAAAACTACTATTTCTCGAATATTAAAGCAGTCATTAATACTTCTATATGCCGAAAACAAAAGAGGCAACTAATGACACCACATTGGCCTTTCTCTAGTTTATCTGCACGGTTGTTTTTTATGAGTGTATCTTTGAGAGTAGACTAGATCTAGATTCTAGTCTAAGCAAGATATTTTTACAATTTTGGGGGTGGACCGGCCCTGTGGGAAATAGAGTGAAGAACCTGCGCTTTCATATGACACCTCACTTATTGAGTATCACCTTCAGGATCACAACAGATAAAGGTTTGAATCTCGAATTGAAAAAAAAAAAACTTGACTTTTTTTGCATGGTCGCACAATGCACGTAGACTGCATAGAGACTGCATGGCGTGTAATCTCTATGGGAAGAATATAGCACACAACATCGGGTGCGCGATCAGACACCCTGACAACTAGACCTATTTTCGTCTACGTCTATGCTGGTACTCCATTTTCAGCAACTAAACTAACATGTTTATGGATAATTTCACGTACCCTTTTTGTTGTTCTTGCTGTCAGCGAGTCTTGCATTTGATAAGTTGAAATCTTGGGACAGTTTCTTTAGCCATTTTTGTCTTGTTTGGAATTGTCTTGTCTTGTATGAAAATACCGACCAATTCTTCGTACACGTACGGTATCCTCGATCGCTCAAACCATTTTTTAACATGTAAACCTATGGGGTAACCATGGAGACTGAACTATTTTCCCGGTAACCATGGTTACTGGGATTTTAGAACTGTTTTAACCATGGTTACTGGGAATTTTACAGAAATAGTTAAAGTTTATGAGTGCAATTTCGACCAATCAGATGGCTGGATTTCTTAAGTGAGGTATATAACTATAGATATAGCAAGCGCAAGTGCACTAATTACCTCTATACCCGTTTACGCATAGTGTTGCGCAAGAATAGGCTCATGCTCACGCAGTATTAAGCGCTCTAACCTCTACGCGCACTACTGCGCTCTGAAAACGAGTTCAAGAGTACTGGAAAATATAGCACTCCTTTTTATGAAAACGAGTGCAATAGGCTCAGTAAATGAATCACACGTGACCGCGCATGACCAATCATTTGATTAGGATCTGGGAGTGAGTTGTATACAAATTCATATGCACGAACTGTTTCTTTTTTAAAGTGTGAAAATGGTATGCTTTACGTTTTTGTCATGTGCACGATAAAGGAATAAAGATTTGGAAACACATTAAACTCAATATCTGGTATTCATATTTCTTTGATCATTGTTGGTTCTATCACGTTGTCTAGAAATCGTAATGTCTAATTAAAATGAAATCATGGCATTAACTCCAAAGCGATAGATCTGTATTAAGGCGTGCTATTCTGGATAGGACAGGTGGGTCATAGTCAATGCCCATTTTGCCGGGACAATATACCTCTCCCCACCTCACCCTGAGGGGTTAAATTATCATTGCTAATATCACATTCATGCAAAATGTCAGTCTTTTCAGAATAACATTGTCTAGAGACATACCATCATTGAACTGTCGATTTAAATAAATTTCAGACCGATTATTACATCGCTCATATTCACGACAATTCTTTAAAATGTATCGACAGAATTGTTTTCTAAACCATCCCTCATGCCCTTCCCTCCTGTCAACAAAAATGTATTTCCTTCAGGCTATCTGTTTATATCTACATGTACATCATCTATGCTCCTCAACTTGTCCTGTACATTTTTTCGTAATTTTATTTCCATATCCCTCTCTTTGGTTTTACAAGCTGTACAAGATGAACTTATTTCATACTTCTTATGAAATTCCGAAGGTTTGCTAGCTTGAAAACATTTCCAACATGTAACTTTATTAGTTAGTCCTAAACCACATCAAAGTTTAAAGGGCAATCCAACCATAATAGCAAACGACTGTAAAAAAAAAATCACAGAATCAGACTAAAAAAAGTTTGAATGAAATCTGACAAAACATAGGAAACTAATAATTTCCCCTTTCACTTTCTTATAAGAGCCTCTTTTCAGGTGCCAGAAGGACCCCCTTTTTTCCTCTGATAAGTGCCCTTTTTACTTTGACACGTGTCCATTTTGTTTTCTGTACCCTTCCCCTTTTTTATAATCTTTCTTATAAAAGCCCGCTTTTCACCTTTGAGACGTGACCATATCTAAATCTGATAGGTGCCCCTTTTACTTTTCAGTAGGGTCATTTCTCCTTCTAAGAATTGTCCTTTTTCATCTCTGATGAGTGTCACATCTAAGGTTTGAGAAATTGCCTTTTCTGGTTCTGAGAAGATACCCTTTTACTGTGCCTAATTTTTTTTTAAATAAACACAACAACAACCCTTTTACTTTTTCAGGTGCCCCTTTTCCTATTTAATAAGTACATCTGTTTTGAGTACATTAAAAGGGAAAGGGTACATACGGGGAATTCAAATATTATTGATACTTTTGTACATCAAATCTATCCAATTAAATTCAAACGTTATCCACTCTCTTCAAGTTCTCTCATTTCTTGCTTTAAAAAAAAATCGAGCTTGCATTACCTATGTCCCTTTTGCAGCCAACATCAAATTCTGTAGAACTTTCCAGGAATTGTGAATATGGCATGTATGTCCTATCTGAGAAATTTAAACGTTAGCAGTGTCCTAATATTCAAATTATGAAAGGAAACCTGTCTACTTGCTATACTTCACTGTCAGACACTATTGAGTGACTGACTGGCTTTTTTTCTTCTTTGGTAATAACATACATAAAATGAGCTGTAAAGGGTACGTGAGCATTTGTCTACATCAATAACCCACTTCTTGTAATGGCCAAAATTAAACTGATTGAATCCTTGAGTAGCATAAAACGTACGACCATTCAGTAAAATGGTCTGAAAATCAGACTATTACTTACTGGCTCTAAAGCTCCTAAGTCTATTCGACAACTAATAGTCGTTATTTTCCCACTTACAGACATTTGCAAATCCCCCCCTTCTGTAATGAAAGTTCTAAATTAGTATTATCTTTCAAATGCCGTTGGAATTTAACCTTTTCATTTTTGTTGGCCTGCAAAAGGGACATAGTACCTTTAATGCGACTCTCTTACACAAAATATAAAATTGGTGGAAAATTCAGACTAAATTCGTTGTGAATCAAAATTTATTTGGTAAGCAAATTAAAAGTATTTACAAGACCTAATGAACGTTTAGATGGCTATCATATTGCTGTAAATTATCTAATATCCAGGAAACAGAAAAATTATCTAGTAAGGAGAAAGTTTCAAAGTCCCACTAAATGTTGAGGAAGATGGAATCACAACTCGATCATAATAGACTTTATATCTGCATAAGAAACTGGAGTACATTTCATATATAACAGTGGTAAAACTTTGTCGCACAATCTCCATCTAGCGTAAAACTGCTCCCCCTTATATCCTTTTTATAAACACTTGCATGCCCCCCCCCCTCCCGCTTTAAATTTTGACAAAAGTACTTTATAATAATAATAATTACAGTGCTTTTATAGCGCCTAACACTTAATTTGTCAGAAGTCTCTAAGCGCTCTACAATAATGCAGCATAATTACCCTGGCTTTAGCAGTGCAGCTGTTACGCGCGCTGCGTTTCAAGGAATAAATTCCTTATAGGGGGTGTTCGTCAGATAATTTTGTCTCGTGCCTCCCCCCCCCCCCCCCCTCCTCTGCAAATTGTCTCGTAGACACCACATATTTGCTATTCTATAATACATGTCATGAACACATATATTTTGAACTATATACAATTGTAATGTCGTATAAATAACTAGAGTTTTGTTGCAATTAAATTAAATTAAATTTACCATTGCTATTAAAGAACATACATACGCGTACATGAGATAACACATCGTTAAATGAAACTAATATAATACATGTATATACACTGGCACTAGGATATCAAAGTTGTTTGTTAGGTAGCAGCCAGAAAGGAAGTGACCCTTAGAAGTGGTTGGCCTAAAGAACATTTAATTACAAGCTAATTGTATATGTTACCAGATCACATCGAATCATTCCTACAACAACAAAATCACATCACAGTTCATTAAATTATATAACGGTTCGATGAAATTTAAAAACAAAAATGAAATTAGTGAAATATTTTGCAAGAATAACTTTAAGTTGACTTTTGTTTAACCTCAAACCTTATATGTTAGTTTACTTTATTAGCTTGAGATCTTGATTTATCAATATATTGTTTGAAGCCAATTTGGTAGATCCTCTGAAATATCTTTCTTTAAAATAGACTTCTTCTGTTTCCATTGAAAAAAAAGCAATCCATGACGGGAAATCGAAGTTATTACCCCAGACACAAGGACTCCTCCTCCTCCTTGCAGAGCCGAAACCGTCGCAACTTCAAGTTCATCGAAATCGCGGATATTATAATTAACACACGTTTCAATGAGATGTCGGTGAACTTGTACTTAAAACGGTCTCGTGAAACGGTGCCCATGTCCTAAGGAGGACATGTGAGTGATATGCTCCTCAGCCGATTTCTTCATGTTGTCAAGTTCTTTCTCTACTCCTTCGGTCCTACCCTTGACTCCAGCGATGAGGATTTCTTTTTTCTTTGTCAACTGGAAGACTGATTCTTCAAATGCTTTTTCGATATCATCTGTACATTGCTTCTGAACATTGCTCACATGCTCCTTCTCTTCATCAATGAAATCAACGTATTTCTGAAAGCAAGAGCGTTTTTTGTCCACCTTGGATTTGAGGTCCTCGATACTCTTCATATGGTTGCTTTCATAAACAGCTGCCTCGATGACCAAATGTCCTTCGTTCGTATGCTCCTTGGCAGCGCACGCGAAGCAGGCAAATCTCCTGCAGTCGGAGCAGAAGCACTCCTCATCCTCTTTAGGATGTTTCCTGCATTTACGGTACCTACTTACTGACACCTTCCCTGATCGGATCTCACTCATGGCTAAGACTTCATGACTGATGAAGTCTGGCCACTGAGAGTGTTTGTTGTGGCAAGTGATACAGAGACACAATCCACAGTCCTGACAGTAGACAACAGCTTGAGGCTTGTCCTCGGATTCGCAATTCGTGCAAAACTGATGTTGATTCTTCACGTCTTCTATGAGAGACTTCAAAGCTAGATTTGCCGGTAATTTGCTGACATCTTGGTTAGGGACCTGGGTTTCAGCTCGGCAGACAGGGCATCGGAGCACCTGGTCGTTACTATGGCATTTCAAGAGGTTGTCCAGACAGGTCTTGCAGTAGGAGTGAGAACAAGACAGGATCTTGGGATCGGTGAAGGTTTTCAGACATACAGGACACTCCACACTCTGAGCAATGACATTCTTTGATGCCTCAGCCATGATTCGAATTCTACAGGAATACGAGATAAAAGAAAAGGAAAAAACGTAATGATAGTGAAGCTATATCAAATGATTGTATCAAACATTTCATTAAAGACGAGTGTTAATCATAACGCGTACACAGTATCCTTTAATAATCATTACATAAATTCAAAAACTAATCGAAAACCAGTTATTAGAAATTCGTGACCTTTGAACGAAAACAAATATGATCCGTGATTTACCTGCTCGATATGAGAAATATAAACATGCATAAATATTCTTAACATGGATTTCATAGGCTTTGAACAACTCAAAAATTTAGTAGGAAACATTTCGCATTGATTCTGATGATGTTTCAAAAGCAGTATTATATACATATGCACACTGTAATATACCATTTCAAAATGTTATGGAAAACAGGAAATTACAGATTGCTCTGGTTCGGAAGGATGGATTAAAAGGTAGCTGAATAAAACAATAATCTGACACAGACATTTTATTTCACTTACCTCCTTTTCCGTCCCTACGTATGGGTCTAGGTGTTATATTAATCAGGAAACATGTATAGTCTTTGCCTTTACGATGTAGGCCTAGTGTACGTTGCACTAATCATAACTACTACTGTACCGTCCGTATACATGTATGTACTTAGTTTTGCAGTCTATATTTAGGTACCGGGAATTCCCACCGACCTTTGACAGACAAAGAGATTGCGGTTTTAACGTCCTAAGAGTTTTCGCCCAGTAAAAACTCGTTCTCATTTTGCCAAGCGTCTGACGACCAAAAATATGCCCTTGTCAAAATTGAATTATACAATGAAACCTGTCTATAAAGAACACCCAAGGAAGACAAGAAAAGTGGTCTTTATAGGCAGGTGTCTTTAAGCACAGGTTCATTTTACATGTTCCAATGAGAAACTAATTTCAAGGGGGAGGGATTTAGTCTTCGTAGACAGGTGGTCTAATGGGGGTTTGAATTTACTACTGCCCCCCCCCCCCCCCCGCTGCAGTACACAACGATTTTAAAGTTAGACTAAAATTGCTGCTGCCAAAGTCTCATAAAACGATCCTCCTTTTAGACAGTGCAGATGGAAGGTTGGAGATAGCGTTATACATGCTAAACACATCCGGAAAAAAGATGAGTAAAGAAGTTATTAAACTGTGGACCTTTATCTTTATTGCAGTAACCATCATCTGGTTGAGAGAGCTAAGAAGATGTTTAATTTATTATAATTTTGGGTTGTTTATGGGCTTGTTTTTACTTTAAGTTCATATGCCTACAAGACAGGGATGTGATGGGCTGCAGTGCTGTACACCACCCCTCGAGTTTTAAAATTGAAATGAATCTCTTCTGGCACGGACAATTAACAGCCACCCGATTCTTACAGTTGCGTAATATCTAAACAGCCTAGTATTCTATTTATTATGTTTATATCTTATTTTGTGTGCCCTGATTAAAAGAAATTACAGTTGAAAGAAATATTCTCCCAAGCTTCACTAAGTTTTCATATCAACAAATAAATACTGATCAGTGAAAATATGTGTATACCATTAATGATGACAGTAATTTTAATATCATGTTGAGGTTGAGTTTTTATCGTTGTCCTCACTCCTTTCCCCTACATAATATAATGCGCACAAAAACTGATATTCTGTTTCATCTCAATACAACACAATTCGTGTTTTTCATTGATTGAATGTAGTAATGACGCTATGCTGAATGTGAACGATATCAGTATGATCACACATTTTCTAACGCGACAAAAGTTACACCCGGGGTCACGATCAGACCAAGGTTTAGACAAACCTTGGTCTGAAACGCGTCAAAACGCGTCATATGACGCACATAAACCTAGGTTTGTCTTCAAACCTCTTTTGTGAATTCGGGCCTTATGGTCTGGTTTAAAGCTTTGTTTTGTTTTGTTTTGTTTTTGCCGCCTTTTTCTTCATTGTCTACCAAACCGATTCTAAACACAAGCCATTCTCATTTTGGTCTAAGTTCAATTGCTCTCCATAAATCACCTCCAAGACATATATACCACTGAATTATACACAATGTCATGTAGCGAAGAGTTTAGTGATCTAGTCTAACTATTTCAGTCTCAGTAATACGACGACTTTATAAACCAGATACAAACAAAACCCTGAATGTGTCTAGGAGCCTGCTTAATATAGTTTATATAGACCTACGTCAATGTGAAACGAAAATATTGAAAATTTGTACAATTTTTCTTTTGTAAATGAAAGAGTTATTTTAATTTACTCACCTCTTTTTCCGGTATCAATATAGGTGTTATATTATATCAGTAAACAGGTATACTATTTGCTTTTACAATTTAATAGTGGACTGATCATTTGTCAGTCTGTTATTAGGCACTGGGTATTCCCAACAACCTTTGACATACAACCAGATTGAGGTTTTAATCGCCCTAAAAGTAATCGCCCAATAAAAACTCGACCGCATTTCGTTAAGCGTCTGTTGAGCAAATATATACCCGTGTGAATTCTGTTTATGTTACCCCCTCCCCATTGAAAAAAAAAATCTCAAGTGAGAGACAAATTGCTGTTGCAAAATGGCGTTCTATGTGCTAAACACATCCGGGAAGCGTTATTTTTTTATGCGGCACAGATTGGGGCATGGTGCGTGTTGAGCCTATGAGAAGTACGTTCTTTTCCTTCTGAATAGTGTCTGCACGTACGTGAGACTAGTCATGTTTGCTAGCGCATATCGCGCTGCGAAGAAGTTTGAATATCCATCGCGAACTTTGTGTTTAGATAACATTCCTCTTCGTTTAAGTTAGTTAAGTTTTATTGACTAATTATTGTGATGTTCTCCTTATTGACGTGCTGCCTCCTCTTCAAATTTCCAATTTCATTTTAATTGTTGATGTAATGATTTTCAATACGGTAGTGAATTACCTGTAACACTATTAAAAACAGACCTCTACTACTAGTACGCACACGACCACTATTAGTCTGTAAATCAAGACCCCTTTTTAAAAAAAGCCCCAATCTGTGCCGCATAAAAAAATAACGAATCCGGGAAGGAGAAAAGTAAAGAAGGTATTCAATCTTAGACCTTGACATTTATTATTGCGCAAACCATCATCTGGTCGAGAGAGCTTAGAAGTTATTCGATATAGTTATTATAGTTTTGGGTTTTTTAGGGGATAGTTTGTCTTAGTTTCATAGGCGCATAATATTCATACAGCCTATTATACTATGTAATAATATTCATATCTGACTTATATGTCCTGATATGTTTCTTTATGTAATACTTAAATACAATTCAATTCCATTCAGATCAATATTGATTTTATTTCCTTCTTTAATTAATATTCAACTGAAAAAAAATGTCATAATGACAAAAGTCATTTTAAGAGGGCTTAAATCATAACAACATAACCTAGTGTCGGGTACGGCCCTATAGAACAATACACAGCATAGAAGAAGAGTCGTAGAAAGGAAAGAAAATAAAACAAAAGGAAAATAATTTAGAATAAGGAACCTGGAAACGTACTACAACAATTACATACAAAATAGCATACAACTGAGCTGCATAAAAGTTACTTCGTAATTATGACACTAAAATGGCAAGATTGGCACTATGATACTGTGTGACTATTTTTTTTTCTTGAATCTGGAAGTTGATGTTCGAGCTCGACTTTACATTTTCCAAATAACGGTGGTACGACTATGCTGCGCAAGCTCCCTCACGAACTAAAACTGCTAGCCTTTTTCTTTTACACACGTGCCCCTACCCCCCCCCCCCTCCTCCGCCATTGAATTTGATAAAATACTTTTTAAGGGATGAACGTCAGATAATTTGACCAAAAAAAAATATCACATCACAGTGCAAGACATTACAGGTATTACAGATCAAAGAAATAAAAAAATTAGAAGGTTAAAACTAAATATTTTGCAAGAATAACTTTAAATTTGTTTCATTTTTATTTAGTTTATCTGTCTCTTTAATTATTTATTTTAAAATCTTGCTTTTTCAATATCTTGGCGGTTGCCGTTGATTAACTAGCAAATCGTGACGGGAAATCAAGTTACCCTCGTCACATAGACTGGCTTCCTTGCGAAGATGGAATGAATGACGTGTCAGGCCATCGTGTCACAAGTATATGTTCACCAAAATCCCGTTAAAACGCGTGTACTGTAACTAACACACGTTTCAAAAGATGTCGGTGAACTTATACTTAGGACGGTCTCGTGACACAATGCCCAGACCAACAAGAAACCGAATAAGAAATTGCATGTATATACACAGAATGGAAAAGAAATGGTTAAAGTTCAAAATATTCAAATTCGTATTTCCATTTTCAACAAGAAATGGTACAAATTTAATAGTCAACATTTTACAAAGTATACAAAAGTAATGATACAAGTTTACATGTTATTTCTTTGCATAAAAAAAACATCGTTTATATTATTCTTAATTAAGTTACAAAGAAATATAAGATAATCATATCATATAATCTAAATCAAGAAGAAAATTAAAACGTTGCTCTATATTTATTTACATGGAAAGTTCTGTGAGGTTGTTTAGGAGTCGGTTCGGCTTTAACGGGGGTGAAATAATGATTAGACAGCATTTAAACCTAGGGCGTCAATGCAGGGCCACTCTTTGCAACGAAAAGGAGTTTATTATTGACGATCAAACAATAGACTCAACTGCCAGTCACCGACGTCGACTGCTTGATAATAGGGACTTTTCGATTTGCACGACGGGAATGTGGACTAAAAGGACGTCACACGTGACTACCAGTGCCCTAAAAGAAAGTCACACGTCCACGCAAATCGAAAAAATTACCAAAAATTCAAATACAACAATTAGCATTGCATAGCTGTAATTTTATTTAGAGCAATTTCAGTTCCCAACGAAATCCTTCAGATGCTTAAAGTTAAGAATTAAATACAGGTACATGTATAACCTTCAAAATATGTTAGATTAAGATTAAGTAAAAGCAATAACACGAATAGAAATGTAAATAAGGTCAAAGAAATACATAATTTGAGAGAGAATGAGACTAATACACAGTTTTGGATATAAGAAACGTTCTGAAATCAACAGTATTCCCAGTGGATACTAATGCCCATGAAAAAGGAGGGTTTTGTTTTCCTTTTCAAATACAGGGATATATAATAAAAGGGAAGTCCACCTGACATCACGTTAAAGATCGGCACACCTAAATGCGATCACCTCTCCATTTGTTTTTGAAATTATATGGAAAATATCAAAAACATATGTTCATTTTTTTTATTACGGTTTTGATGATAGTGTATTTGTTTTACAGACAGGAGCCCTTATTAGAACATGTTAAAAAATTACATTTCGGCCACATACAAGTATGACCCACGAAATTGCGGGTTGGTCTTTAATACAAAGTGAACAGAAAGTAGCTGTAAAATCATAACTTTTCAGATTTGTCTAAAACTATAATGACCATTTTCTCTAAAAGGAAACACAAACAAATTAAATTTTGAAGTTCTATGCAACTTCTTTCATGTACTTTAACATACAGAAAGTAAACATGGAAAACAGAAATATCACAGTCCATTAAAGTAAAAAGAAACCCTTATTTTGAAGATTGATTTTACAATAATTTTGCAATATACATCATACAACCAATAGGACGACTTTCACAAATCTTAAAATCTTTAGTACACAACTCGAGAAATTTCAAGAAGTAGAAATTACTATGAAAAAAGTCGCATTTACTCTCATAAATCTATGTAAGAAATCAATCTGATTTGATAAATCGGACGGTGGTTTAAAATGCATTGTATTATATTAACAAAATAACAATTTCATTGTATATAAAAGCTTTACGATCACATAGATTCCATTACTTGAATGATTATCTCCTACTGCAAAATAATCTTTAAGTCTACAATTGCATTGAGTCAACATCATTTATACATTTACAACAGCTACCAAAAGTCAGATTCACATATTTAGTAATCATCAACAACCAAATCTTGAAAAATAAACACATCAGAAATATATCAAAAGAAAGATTACTTTTGATATTTAAGTAAGGTTCAATCATTCAAATTGATAAACACAATCTAGGAATGTCATTTACATAACAGTCACCGAAACTCCTTTTTACCTAGTTCATGATATAACTGATACCACTGGATGTATATACTTTATCTAGTCATAGAAAACCAGGCCTGTTCGAAGCTTTTGAAAGTGGGTCCATTTTTCAACGAAAAATTACGTTATTCTAATTTTTCAGCGTGGCTCTTTTGACGGGCCTGAAGGCAGTGATATCAAACAGTGTAAGTAAGGAGGATTCATCTATTATTTTTAGTGGAATATGTACAGTTTATCACGAGTACAAAATGCGATCTCTCCTGATCTGTACTGCTCGAGATAGTGCCACCGTTTCTGGGCCTTCTCAATCTTGTAATTATTGACGAGGTTCTGGACATGCTTCAACTTGTTAGTGTACTCGCCAATGCTGACCAAACCTACATTGTATTTCAAGGTTGCTATGAGGATTGTATTCTCTTGAGACACGGCAGCGCTTAGGTAATAACCCAATTTCTTTAATTCACACTTTAAAACACCTTGTTTGTCAATCAATCGTATCGTATTCCACGATGCAGTGATCAGGTAATCATTATAACTAGTAATCTGCACAGGTATATACCCATCACATGGTAACTCCTTGATCGCCTTCCCACCTGCTGGTGAGAATACCTGGATCTTCTTGGCTTTCCTGTAGCTAACATAGATCTGATCACCACTGTCTACAGTGAGCTTAGCATTTCTACCTTCATCGCAAATCAGAGTCTCAAACATTACATTCAACTTTGTGTAGTCTGGTGTGTACAGTGTGATATTGTTTGAGTAATCAAGTATAACATACCGATCATCAGAAAGGAACCCTACTCCACGAATCCTAACATCCTTGAACAGTTCCTGCTGGTGTTGACCATCAGTAGAGAATATCTCTACGCCACCTGTCCAACAGCCCACTGCCATTCTACCGTCTGGTGTACTAACCATGGCGCTCAAGCTATTTTTAGTAGGCAAAGCGGTGTTCTTTGCAACTGCATTCACGATCTCACCAAGACCTAGCTCGTTTTTTCCAAGGTTTCTCTTCAAACTGACATTTCTTCCTTTCTTGCTTGATTGCCTCGGCTGCTTGTAGTCAGGATCTTCCTGTTGCAATGCATCTTGTAAGTTTTGACATAGAGTGTCGTGTGCAGCTAAAGCATCCATATCTGACGGTATCTTTGTCCTATTGGTTACCACGTCAGCTATGGTGGTCAAATGAGTAATGTGCTCCATAGCCGATTTCTTTATTTCGTCGAGTTCTTTCTCTACTCCTTCGGTCCTTTCCTTGACTTCACCGATGAGGATTTCTTTCTTCTTTGTCAACTGCCAGACTGATTCTTCAAATGCCTTGTTGATATCATCTGAACACTGCTTCTGAACATTGCTCACATGCTCCTTCTGTTCGTCAATGAAATCAACGTATTTCTGAAAGCAAGAGCGTTTCTTGTCCACCTTAGATTTGAGGTCCTCGATACTCCTCATATGGTTACTTTTATAAGCAACTGCCTCAATAACCCGATGTCCTTCGTTGGAATGCTCCATGACAACACATCTGAAGCAGACAAATCTCCTGCAGTCGGAACAGAAGCACTCCTCATCCTCTTTGGGGTGTTTCCTGCATTTACGGTACCTACGTACCGACACCTTCCCTGATCGGATCTCACTCATAGCTAATTGCAATTTTTTGTTTGTTTAAGTCGAATTTTGTAATTTTTCTATAGTTATTTATATTTTGATGTGTTGATAAAATGTATATACTTGTTTGTGTCATGAAGGGCCTCAACGAAAACCAGTACTTATCTGCTGATTGGGCTCCCCTTCTTTTTAAAGATGTGTATTAAAAATGATAATGTGCTCGAAAGCATTCACGGAATTTCTTTCTGCCGGGTTCTCATTCACTATACACCTGGGTTTGGTGGAGAGTTGCAAATGTATAGTACTGTCTTGCCAACAGACATTGGTGTCGTGTTAGGACTCGAACCGTGAACTATGTGATTCACAATCAAGCAACCTATCCACTATAAACGACCACAAACCTCTACATGTATCGCAACTGATCATGCTAGTAGAAACTATACAAATCATAATTTGTGGTATCATTTGAAGCACATAGTTAAAGGCGAACCGTGGAAAAAGATATATATATATATATATATATATATATATATATATATATATATTTAACTATCAGAAATTTAGTTTACATTCACATTTTAGCACTCAGATAAATAATCATTACATAATTTCCTAATTAATCGCAAACCAGTTTTTAGAAATACGTGACCTTTGGACGAAAACAAATATGATCCGTTATCTACCTTCAGATAGGATGCATATAAACAATGGAGGAATGGAAATTATAGATTTCTCTGGTTTGGCAGAAGGGCTGAGTTGTATAAACCAGATACATATAATGCCTCAAAAGTTTCTGGGAATTTGCCTTATGTAGTATTTACACTTCGATGTAAAACGAAAGTATTGAAAAAATGTCGCCACATTTCTTTTGGAATTGACACAGACATTTTAATTCACTCACCACTTTTTCCGTCACTACAAAGAGGTCTAGGTGTTACATGCAACCAGTAAAAATGTATACTATTTGCATTTAAGATGTAGTATTGCACCAGTCATAATGTATGTATTTTAGTTGGCATTCTTTTTTTAGGAACTGGGAATTCCCACCGACTTTTGACAAACAAGCAGGTCGAGGTTTATCGTCCTAAAAGTGCTCGCCCTATAAAAATTCGATCTCATTTTGCCCTGCGTCTGGTGGCCAAATATATGTTATATGCCCCTTTCAAACTAGAATTATACAGCGAAACCTGTCTGAAAAGACCACCAAAGGGAGACAAGAAAAGTGGTCTTTATAGGCAGGTGGTCGTTATGTACAGGTTACTTTAGTACATGGTTCAATGAGAAACCATTTTCAAGGGGAAAATATGTTCTTCGTAGACAGGTGGTTCTTCTATACAGGTGGATCACTAAAGCAGGTTTGATTGAATTATTGTAAACTAAATTAACAAAAAAAAACCTCTCCCCTCAGGTGCGGATCCACGGGGGGGGGGCGACGGGCCCTGCCCCCCTGGCCTTCAAAAAAATGGTTTGAAATCATTTGTTGTAGTTAGTGCTCACACTAACCCCCCGCTCCCGCGCAAAGCTCCCAAGCTTGTACGTTTCATTAAATCATGGAGCAAGAAGACGATTCGTTGTACCGTTCTCGACTTTTAATCCTTGTCAAAATTCAGTTTTCCCACCACCTGCGCGAAGCGCCGAAGCTTTGACATTAATTTAATTATTAGAGAAACAAGATGATTCGTTGTACCGTTCTCGAAAATGATCCTCGTCTGAATACAGTTTTTCCCCTCCCGCGCGGAACGCGGAAGATTTTACGTTTCATTAAATCATAAGAGAAAGAAAACGATTCGTTGTACCGTTCTCGAAAATAATCCTCGTCTAAATACAGTTTTTCCACCTCCTGCGAGAAGCGCGGAAGCTTTGACATTTAATTTAATTATTAGAGAAACAAGATGATTCGTTGTACCGTTCTCGAAAATAATCCTCGTCTGAATGCAGTTTTCCCCCTCGCGCGCGAAGCGCGGAAGCTTTTACGTTTCATTAAAGAAAGAAGACGATTCGATGTACCGTTCTCGACTCTTAATACTCGTCTGAATTCAGCTTTCCCCTCCCCCTCCCGCGCAAAGCGTGGAAGCTTATACGTTTCATTAAATCATTAGAGAAAGAAGACGATTCGTTGAACCGTTCTCGACTCTTAATCCCCGTCTGAATTCAGTTTCCCCCCCCCTTCCATCCGCGCGCGCGAAGCGCGGAAGCTTTTACGTTTCATTAAATCATTATAGAAAGAAGACGATTCGTTGTACCGTTCTCGACTATTAATCCTTGTCTGAAATTCAAAAATGCTTTTTGTCTGCTCCTTTTTCTTCATACGTCCTCTTCCTTTTCTCTCCTCTCTTTTTTTTTGGCCGGCGTTTTTTTTTTTTGGGGGGGGGGGGCCGCCCCTACTGCCCCCCCCCCCCCCTGGCTACGCGCCTGCGGTCAGATGAACATCTTTTGATACCATATCCGCTCCCGGAAACTCACGGGATGAAGGCAAATTACGGTCAGATAAGTATTCAGGGGCCCGCCTCAGGGCCCCTGGTGGGTTTTTTTTTTTTTTTTTTCGGTCTCGAAATTTGAAAATTTGACATTTTTCTTCGTTGGGGGGGGGGAGCGGGGTAAGGTCACCTTTTTTAGGTTAGCCGTGGGCATATTTTTTTTTTTTTTTTTTTTTTTTTTGGTCTCGAAATTTGAAAATTTGACATTTTTCTTCGTTGGGGGGGGGGAGCGGGGTAAGGTCACCTTTTTTAGGTTAGCCGTGGGCATATATTTTTTTTTTTTTTTTTTTTTTTTTTTTTAATAATAATAAAAAAATATTTAAAAAAATAAAAAAATCAAGGGGGGGAGGTTTACACACATAAAAATACAAAAGGGGGGGGGGGTTTGAACCCCCCCCCCCCTGCGTACGCCCCTGTTTCACAAGCATCGTTGATCATCACTAGGAAGAGGATTGGGCCCAATTTAGTTCCTTGGGGTACACCAGCATAATTAGGTAAGTATTGAGATAGAGTGCCTTGGTATTTGACTCACTGTTGACGGTGTTCCAAAAAACTAATAATCCATTCAATGATGCATGGCCGTACATTGAGTTTGATCAATTTTCTAATAAGAATGTTATGATCCAGCCTGTCGAAAGCTTTGGTGAAGTCAGTACACACAACAGTGGATAAGCTCTTGCTCTTTTCGCCATTTTCATAGAGATTGTGGAGCGAAATAGCCAGATAATGAGTGGTCGATTAACGAGGGCGGTTTCCAAATTGTCTGGCGTCAATTTTGTCGACGATATCCTCAAGCAGCCATTTGGCTATGAACGATTCTGCAATTTTCGCAAATTGACTTGTTAGTTGCAATTGGTCGGAGGTTATTAATGGTTGCTGGTAATGATTTCGGAATAGGCGTTATTTGAGCTTGTTTCCACTGTTGCGGTACTATCCCTTGTTGAAAAGATGAGTTTATCAGATCTGTTAAAGGTACACACAATTCATATGCATATTCTTTCAAAATCCGAACAGGTAAGTCATTGGTTAATCCAGCTTTACTAGTCTGTAATTTTCTTAATTTTGAATACACCTCATAAACTTGAGCCTGAGGACATGAACATGGACATGGTAAAAAGGCAGGTAAAGTCTCCCTGTCAAGAGATGGAAGGTCAGATGCTATTGACACAAAATGGTTGTTAATTGCATTCGCTGCTACTCTAAGTTGTTTTGGATCAGTACCAGGGATATCAATAGTTACTGGGTCAGTATTTCTATTAGTAAGTATTTTTATTTGTTTGTACCAAGCTGATGGGTTTTCAGTTTTTAGATTACTGACACGAGTGCTATAATGATGACGTTTAGCCTCAGATAAGGAATGAATAACTTTATTCCTGAGCTTACGCCATAATGTTTTGTTACCTTTCTTGAAGGCCTTTTGCCTACTTTGGATTAGAGATTTAACATGTGGGGTTATCCACGGTTTATCAACATTGTAGGTATGTACTTCTTTTGTTGGAGAGTTTGCAGTTTCTTAATATATTCTTTATCACATAAATTAGAATGTCTGCATTGTCAAAAAGGGGTAAAATAATTGCTTTATAGATCAAGTACAAATTCGTCTCATTAATAAAGTAACGTAGTCTAGCCAAATATTTTACTAGGTTTCCAACCCTCTTACATAATTTATCTATGTGGACATCTCACTTAAGTTTGCTGTCGATAATGAACCCGAGATATTTTACATTATATCCCACATACTAAGAATCTTGCTCTACGATTGGTGAAAAGTAAATCACGTGAGGAAAGATAGTTCGCCCATTATTGATGGGAGAAGCAAAAAGTTCGTTACACTGTGTAGATAGTACTACTATCTACACAGTGCAACGCACTTTCATTGAAGATAGAGGTACTATCTACAAAAGGCAACGTACTTTCACTGAAGATTATCCAAACGCGCACTAAAACAGGCGTTATTAAGCGCGCATTACCAATGAGCGCAATTAAAGAAAACACATGCGCGCACCTAACCCTCTAGGGGTTGGGTTAAACTTAAACTTTTTTGGTGTGAATTTTGGGCCTAGGTGTCTTTTATGTAGATGCATACACGTCCTCTTCTTTTTGTAATTAAATTGTTTTAGATGTGGAATATAAAGCAAATAATCACCTTTTGGTTTTCAGGCGATGGCAAACTATCACTTCCTCGTCGATCAGAATATATACGCTATCTTTCCTCAGCTTCGCTTCGGAAAGATAGCTACATCCAGATCGCCTCGGAAGTGATAGTTTGTCCCATCACCTTCACCAACGGTAATTATTTGCTTACTATCAGTCTGTTGTATTGCAATATTATTTATATATGCATTTACTTTAGTACATTTACCTATAAAGCTGTTACATTAACTGACCAAATGCTAAAATCATTATTATTACACCGGTCACTGGCTTAAATTACTATATGCTGCACAATACATTGCACATCCTCCACTCCCTGGGGAGCATTCGAACTATTCACCTATTTTTACGGGCACACATATACCATTCCAAGCACAAAGACGTTCGCATCCTATAGGTACCAATTTCATTCATTCATTCATTCAAGATGGTTTATTTCAAATAAAATGTCATCGCGGCGTTTAGCCGAATTACACAAGTTTACAGACAAAATTTACAACACATAATGTAATATATAACATTGCATAACATGATATATTGAATCTGAAAAATAAATCAGTATAAATACGCGAAATAAAGCTTATTGTAACATATGGTAACACAAATCAGAAAGAAATCAGAATTAGCATAAAGTATCATAGTTCTTCTGAAATCATGTGGAAGAAGGACTGGAGTAAGTAGTAAACGGTATTGGAGCAAGTGTATTTGGTGGAAAATATGGAGAGTAGAATTGAAAAGTGGGGAGTAATGTTTGCAAATACAATGTAAATTATTGAAATTAAGAGTGGGAGAAGGGGAAGAGTAAAGGCTGAAAGGGGGAAATGTATAGAAAAAAGCAATAGAAAGCAACAATGGAAACACATGCATATAGGAGGATAAGAAAAAGAGGGAAAAGAAGAAGAAGATAATGCAGAGGTCGAAGAAGATGAAAAAGAAGGGGGAAAAGGAAGATCAAAAGAAGAAGAAGAAGGAGGAATATAAAGATGAAAGTGTTAAAAGAGTAAAAGAACAAAACAAAGTGAAAATGTACAACTATTTCTAGAGTGTACAAGATATGGGGGTGAAGAGAGGTTATAAACTATTGTCATGACAGATTCAGTTAAGTTCAATATGGTAAAACTATGGTAAAAATGGAGTGTAAATATACGTCATTAATTAAACAAATACAAAACAAAATTGGTAGGAGTGTAAACACAGGCATTAACGGTTCTCGGACAATAACCCCAATGGACAATAACCCCCGGCCAATTACAAAAGGGACAATTGACTCCCCAAAATTCTTAAAGGCCCACTGCACTACTTGTAGCTACTTGCGCCCTCTATATAACAAACGATGCCTAATCGGTGACCATTGGTCCCCCATGATCCTCTTTTTCTTACGTTAACTGAGAGCTGAGTTGATGAGATAACCACCTGTCTAATGACCTTGCAGGGCGGTCTAATCCCTCCTGTAAACTATGGCAGATAAGCTTTAAAATATTTAATTTCAAGAACTGACACTTGAGATGCGGTATATCAAACAAATTTTGACTGTATTTTTTCGGGTGACGATTAAAACTATTGCTCCTCGGGGACCTCGAGACTGCAATAGTTTTCCCCTCGAATTCAGTTTGGAGCACAGTACAGTTTCGAGATTACCTTGGGCAATGATTTTAACCGTACCCCTCAAAGCAGTCAATATTTGTATACATGTAGGCCTACTACAATTTATGGCATTCTTCCTGAATTAGGAAAACAAAAACGAATTGAAGTAAAAATCAAATTGATCAAGATTCGAGCTTCCATCAAAGATAACACAAACTATATTTCAGAATGTAACATCGTATAATTAATAATGATTGCATCAGAATATATGAAAATTTATAAAAATATCTTTAGTTATAATATAATTATATAGCATCTTGATTGTTGGATAAAACATCTATTACAAAATAGTATACTACATTGAAACCATGAAGGCAGGTCACCAAAGTTCAATATGATTCATACATGTATCGAGACCCCTCAAAAATCTCATGCAGACGCAGACGTAGACGCACTCGCACACACACTCACACACGCACTCAAACACGCGGTTTCCTTTCCAAACAAAAAACACATTGTATAACGACTAAGGATTCGATCGTGGTCCTTTAAAATAGGTACTGGAGATCACGGCAGGTTGCCAGAGGTAGATGCGAATCACACACGTCTTTAAAACCGAAGATATAAGCATACGTCCACTAGCACATACGCAAAAGCGCACTTGTGGGCTTTTTTAAACGCATGTTTCTCGATCATACACGATTGTACTTCCTTTCAAGCTATTTTCTTCACAACCAAATGATTTCTGTTCAGAAACCACGTTATTTTTTCTCGCCTCCATCTTTTTGCGGTAGAGTTCAAACGTCACAAGACGGTGTGGGGCGAAGAAGCGTTGATAAACAGGAGCCATTAATACACACAAGCCGGATACAGTGTACATCCCAATGAAAGCCCAAATTGCGTACGTGTAGGAACCCGTGGTATCAATACTCTGGCCTAGAAGACAATGAGACGAAGAAGAAGAAAAAAGTATTGTAGCTCAACATTTTATTCATAAGATTTGTATTTACTATCGTTTAAAATGTCTAAGGGTGCGTTTAATCGACACTTTTTCATCCTAGAATCACGGTTTTCAAAGACGTTTAGTTTAAAACGCAATTCGTTCAAGCGATTTTTTCGTCGGTCTTAAAAATAAACGTGTTTAAAAACACAAACATGAAACGCTGAAAAAGATGCGTTTTGTATCATGATTCTGCAGAATCACGGTCGCTAAAATTCGATTGAACGAACGTAGTCTCAATCATGATTCTATCGTGGCCTGTTCCGGTTTGGGCAAAAACCGCGCGCCTGCCTGCTTTTCATGCAATTGCGTTCACTATACCATGCTCTTTATCGTGGCCTGTTCCGTTATGTTATTCCTTGTTTTCCTTCTATCGTTTTCTCTTTCTGTCTTTCCTTATATTATTCTTTGTTTCTTCCTTCTATTCTTATGTTATTCCTTGTTTTTTCCTTCTATCACCTTTTCTTATGTAATTCTTTGTTTTAAGCATTCTATCGACTTTCTCTTTCTGTCTTTTCTTATGTTATTCTTTGTTTCTTCCTTCTATTCTTATGTTATTCTTTGTTTTTTCCTTCTATCACTTTCTCTTTTGTTATTCTTTGTTTCTTCCTTCTATTCTTATGTTATTCTTTGTTTTTTCCTTCTATCACCTTTTCTTATGTAATTCTTTGTTTTAATCATTCTATCACTTTATCTTATGTTATTCTTTTTTTTAATCCTTATATCACTTTCTCTTTCTGTCTTTCCATATGTTATTCTTTGTTTTTTTCCTTCTTTCACCTTCTCTTATGTTTTTCTTGGTTTAAATCATTCTATCACTTCTCTTATGTTATTCTTTGTTTTTATCATTCTATCACTTTCTCTTATGTTATTCTTTGTTTTAATCATTCTATCACTTTCTTTCCTGATGTTATTCTTTGTTTCTTCCTTCTATTACCTTCTCATTCTTTGTTTTATTATTGCGATCTATGCTCAAAATAGCAGTCGACAGTCGGCCGTAAACAATTCCGAAAAAGCGCGCGCCAAGGTTGACCTATGCTTCCTTGGTCAACTGCGCAGTGTGATGCACAGTGGCTGGGCTCGAAATGAGCTAGAATCAGCGTTAAAGAGAAATCGCTTGAACGCAAACCGCAGTGACCTTGTTTTTTGTAACGGCGTTTTGATTTGTGATTCATGTTTGTGTTTCTAGCTTCGAAAAATCGATTAAACGCACCCTAAAAATCCTCATCAATAGTAGTTTAATTTTTCAACATTCACAGCTTTGGCTACACTGTCTTTAGAATGATCTTTCTCTAGCGGGTTTCTGCGTGACCTTCGCTCCCCGACGGAAGCGCTGAAGGGCACCGAACTCACTCACGGTCGCCTTTTATACATAACATAATCGTATAAAACTCTTGATATCCTAAGTTGCCATGTAAAATCGCTCAAATATGACTTGATATTATTTGACTGCAGTGGGAATCACTGACAAAATAATGCAGGGAAATATTTTAAATTCATAATGGATTTCCAACAATACTTCCAAAAAGGCGAATGTTACTAGTTATAGATAACAAAAACTATTATTATTTTAATTACAGCTAAAATTATATAGCACACGCATCCATCCCGGGCGATTCTCAAGGCGCCTAACAGTAGTATTATTACCCTCACGTTCGCGCAGCTGCCTCAAGCTAAGGCACTAAAAGCATTCGAGGAATAAATTCCTACCAGGTACCAATTTATTACACCTCAGTGGAAAGTGTCAAATGTAGATTAAATCTTGCTATAGATTACTACAGCGAAACTCAAACTGTGAACCATGTGATCAACAGTCCGGTGACGCAGGCGCGGATCCAGAATTTCTTAGGGGGAAGGGGCCAAACTTTTTTTTTCTTGCTCCTGAAAATTTCAAAATCGCGCCGGCCGAAAAGTCACTCAGTAGGGGGGGGGGGGGGGGGGGGGGGGGGTGAGCACCTTTTTTTTTTCGGTCCTCGATAATTAAAAAATTTGCACCCCCCCCCCCCCCCTCGAGCGCCAGGTAAAAATCACGTGTTTTTACATGATTTTTTCTCAAGGGGAGGGGGGCCTGGGCCCCCCCCCCCCCCTGGATCCGTCACGGCGGTGACGTACCTAATAGACCATGGCACCTCTGTACGTAGTCCCTTGAAAATTTAGATGATACCGATAGAATATCATAATCATTACCTACGAGGGATCCAAGAACATATCCTGAACCATAGGCGAATAGAATGACACCTGATGTCTCTAGCGCCCTCTCAGGACCAAAGAACTCTGATGCCAGGCTATATGTTATGGTGTTTGTCGTAGTCATCGTGACTCCGCCAACAACTATAGGGTAAAGAAGAACGACGTAGCATATTCAATGCTACATTAATGAGGTTAATGATGCCTGGTTAACAATAATAACTATAATGAGAATCATAATAATAAGATAGGCTTCTATAACATATTTCATCTTCGGTGAAAAAATCAATACGCTTTACAATAATAACAACCCTGATATCGGGCACATGAAGGGGTAGGCGGGCATATCTACAGCGATGGGATGTTTTTTTTTTACTACGTACAAAACGTAATTTTTTGCATAATCCAAAGCAAATCAATGAAATAAGTTGAATGGATATTTGCGAAACTTAGTTGTTTATTGGGAAACTTTATTTCATCCGTTATCTCTCGGATATTGAATATACAACACTATTTTAGGCATTAATAAACACTTCCCTTATCTCGGGCACATGTAGCAGCAGGCGGTGATGTTTTGACAACGTCAAACACGTATAATCCAAAGAAAATCAATGACAAGAAGTTGAATTGATATTTGTGAAACTTAGTTGTTTATATATATATTTATATTTTTTGTGTTATACAAATTTTAGTTGGTAATTTTTTGAAGTCAGACAATGGTGCGCTTAGAAACACCTGTATTAAGCGCCTAATAAATGTTATGTATTATTATTATTATTGATTGATAGTTGGAAACTCATTTGTATATTAGGGCGCTTTTACGTCCGTTTAATATCTCTCGGATATTAAATAAACATCACGACTTGTATGCCTTACTACACTTCCCTTATCTCGGGCACATATACAGGTAGGCGGGCACGTCTGCAGGAAGGTGGTTTGATGGTTTGACCGACGACCGAATCGACCACGTGCTCATTGGAGTTGAAAACGACCAAAATAATCGCCAAATCGAAACTCAATAAAAAATAATTAACACTCAAATACTATTACTGCGTAACCACAGACAATACACCTGTACAACGGTAAGATTTTGCCCCTGATTGAACTGCACCACTGTGTTGCAAGTTCCACCTTCATACATGACATCAATCTGCACGTACGTACGTACGCGTGCGCGGTCAAGAACATAAATATTCATGAACTGACACGACGTCTGCATAATTATTGACCTCCTTGTAGATGTGCCCGATTAGCTACCCAACAGCGCATCTGGCGAAGGAGTTTATTATGGAATCATACGGCTACAGCTCACCTGAGATGGCGCTAGAGGGTACTTGGATATAGTGTTTTTAGTACAGTATGGCTTTAATGCGGGACTGCACTACTTGTAGCTACTTGAGCCCTCTATGTAGCCAACAGTGCCTAATCGGTACCCGTTGGTCCCCCATGGTCCCCTATTTCTTATGTTACTTGAGCGCTGATTCGATCAGATAACCATCTGTCAGTGGCCATGCAGGGAGGTCTAACCACCCTGACCAAACTAGTGCAGATAGGCTTTAAAGCGTATCTGTACTAGTTTATAAGAGGGATTAGACTACCCTGCAAGGTCACTGGACTGGTGGTTATCTCATCAACTCAGCTCTAGATTAACATAAGAAAAAGAGTATCATGGGGGACCAATGGTCACCGATTAGGCATTGTTTACTATATAGAGGTAGCAAGTAGCTACAAGTAGGACAGTCCCGCTTAAAGCCATACTGTACTAAAAACATGACAGCAAAATACCATCTAGCGTCATCTCAGGTCAGCTGTAGCAGTATGATCCCGTAATAAACTCCTTCGCCAGATGGCTTGGTAGGACTAACTTACCGACAGCTATGCAGTACATAATAATAACATTTCTGGTGAAGAGGATGACGAGCATGACCGCGATGCTGACCACGCTGGAGATGACGAGAAGAAAGACTCTGGGGAATGGAATGTATTCTCCGATCACCGACATGCCGATCTTCCCGATGAGGTTTGAGAACCCGAGTAATGACACGACTCGAACCCCTGTCGGCTCTGGGAAGCCTACCGATACCATGTAGTTTGTCTGTGAAAAGAAAGCATAAAGCCTCGGTCAGAAATGCCATTACGAACTGCTACGAACGCCGTACGAACGATTTTCAGACAATGGAAATTCGGGAAGACAATGGAAAAACAGGGAGATTCGTACGAAATTATCTTTCGTAAGAACCTTTGTGACCGTATCATAAGGTACACTGTTATCCATAGTGCAGGATCCCCCCTACCCTCTCTCAATTCATGAAATAATTGTGGAAAATAATTTATTCTTCATAGATCAAATTTATCTCTTTTCAAAACTTCATTGATCAAACTCGAGAGTGAAAAATATTCATCAATACAGTTCTGAGAAGATGGTGAACTTTACCTATGAAGTTTAAATCATATTGGATATAGGTTTCCCGGGTCGTATACTCGGCAAACATATTGCTCCGGTTGTCTCATTTACGCTCGCTGGAACATTGCCAGCACAAATCACTGACCTCTACCTCCTGGACTGATCCTCGCCCATTCCCATTCGCTATACGTTACGTACTAAAAGGCTGTATTGTCTGACCGTTCATGAAATTCATGTTTTTGCTTACCTCGGCAAAATGTTTGCTTTTACTAAATGGAAAAATGACGGTGGGGGTTGGATGGAATGGACATAATGAACCAAGCAGAAGTGATCTATGATAATTCATGCTTCTTATCCTTCGTGTGCTTGACCTATAATCTTAAAATCGCTTGGCAAACTGAGTCCAAAGTTCGACTTGTTTCACATGTGTATTATAGGCAATGGCGAGCTTGCAACCTATTTTTATCAAATTACGGTGGGTAAACTTTCAAAAGTCAATGGGACATGAGGGTTCCAATGAAAGAGCTAGTGATAACGTACGCCGGGGCGGATGTTCTTTCGTTTAAACAAAAAAATGGATTTTTAACGATTTTTTTTTTTTCCCCCTAAAATTTCATAGGCTAACATGTTAGGCTGCTGACTCTGACGACAGGGGGCGTTTGTGAAATGAGACTAAACGGAGCTATATGGATCTTTGCCAACATCGCCCTGCTGTGGACCCACGTATATCAAACAGGTATCCTGGGAGACTTGGGTAATACTTACTACAGGGACCAAAGTAAAAGCAGTATCAACAGATTAGAGATGGACAAAACTTCACTGAACAGTAACATGCCGTCACAATAAAAAAAAAAAAAAAGTGTCTTTAATTCAGATTACGAAATTAAGTGCACACTGAAATATTGCATAATTTCATTTCTATTTCAAATATGAAATCTAGTGCGAAGAAAGGTTTGTCACGGTGATCAATTTGTGACTATGTATAAAACGTAAATTTGCTATTATTTACAAGTCAGTGTTGAAAGCCATGGAATAAAATATAAACAAATTCTGATTTGATAAGTTTGAAAACCTAAGGTTTCTTAGACAAACAGTGTTACCTGTAGAAAGAAATGTCTATTCTTCAGTAAGTATCGCTTCCAGGCGTGGGTTGAGAGCTGCCAACTACAAAGCAAGAAACCTAGGAAGCTAGTAACCCATTGATACTCACCCAATTAACTAAGTAAAAACAGTCTCCTATCCCATTTAGTACTGTCGATATTGATATCAACCAGAGTTCGGGGAAAGTCAGAGCGACCAGTATTTTCCTGGTTATGCTTTGATCCGATGCTGTTCTTACAGGACGCGTTTTATCCTCCCAGCGCATCTCTCCATTCCTACAGGGATCACCAGATTCTGCGAGATCATCCTCGAATCCAGTGGGAAAGCGCTCTCTAGAGGAAGTTATGTCTTTATCATTTATGTCGTCGTACTCATTGTTCATACGCGTAAATTTTACAGGTACACGGGCAACACGCTTTTCATCCCCGGACTGGGAGCATTGAGATTTCTCGTTCACAGATAAGGGTTTTGGAGAATTCTTTAACATTTTAGAATCGTCCATCAACTCTGAGATTTCTGCGATCTCCTCCTCGTTTCGCAGATAGATGATGTTCTTGTCTCCGTTCTGGTGTTTACGATCGCCTGATGGGTGAGAAGGTTCTACGAAGGTTAGGGCGCAAGGTAGACCAACAAAGAGGAGAAGAGGGCCCACGATCCGAAGAAGAACTCTCCATCCATATCTTGAGATGATGAAAGACATTAAGGGTGTAAATGAAAGCAGACCTATGGCAAAAGGGGAGTAAAATAAGAAGAAATGGAGTTACGTAAACTTTACACTGAATTATAAATGTAATAAAACCCTGCAGCTGAGTGAAAGTTTGAAACATTGAGTCTTGAAAAATAATTTGTGAAAGAGTTGAGTTTGAGAAAATTCAGTATGCTTATCGGATCTCATTTTGTTATGACGTGATGACGTAATATATTCGGATAAATAATGTGATTAATTTTCCATTCTTTGTATTAAATCAAAATTAACCCTAATCCCTACCACATTTCGTATACAAGTTTTGCATTTGAGTCCGAACTATTGGAGCACATATTAACCAAAGACCCATCCTCAGCTCATAAGGGAGAGCGTTTGGAAAACTTTGCAGTTTTTTCTACGAAGTGGAAAGCAGATAAACTGAAAAATGCTATCATAGTTACACTATTATCGCTCATATCCAATTGATGTTGTAACATTTGTATTTGTGTGTGTGTTTGTTTGTGTCTGTCTGTCTGTCGGATCTAAACCGGGCTCTACGTAAACTTAGGTAATATACAACAGCGTCTAGCTGAGCTACCAATTTGTCTTCACAAGGCCACATTCTTGATGCAGTTAAGAAAATTATAATTTCTTTTAATACTAACCAAAGCTAGTTCCAGTCAGTAGCAAACCCATCGCTCTCACGTTGTTCTCCTCGGGGAAGTACAGAAGCACCGCATCGTAACAGCAAACAGTCATTAGCCCGCCCCCTACGCCGAATACTAGGCCATAGGCGATGAACACCGCGATCAGACTCTTAAGGAATGACGTCACAATGAGAGCACTGGCTGCGACTATGGTGCCAATGATGGCGACGGGTCGACATCCGAAGCGCTCGGTGAGGATGTTGACTAGGGGGGCGATGAGGAGAGACAACCCGATGGAGACAGACCCGATCCAACCTGTAATTAAATAGAGATTAACGGTCAGATGGGGAAGGGGTATTCGATTTAGGAGGAATCGAAAGGTGCATTGCAGGGTTGTAACAACCGTTTGACCCCCACTTCTCCGCCCCCTAAGCTGGCTTGGTGCATTCATTATTTCTGTAACGATCAGTACGATCATTTCAGTTTCTCTTGTCGTACTGAATATGATCTCCAAAAGCGTACTCTACCGTTTATAAAAAATGTGTTTGGATAACCCTCCGTGAAAATTCCCTCCCACGTACAATCTCAATGTTAAATATATAAGAACTCACTGATCTCTATAATACCTAAACATGAGTACGCAACCATCAAGAAGTGTTGGCCGAATATACAGTGCGTCCCAGAAAAAACGAAACCGAGAATTAGCGATGTTTTATCATAACTTGATCACAATTATAATTAATAAATGACACAAATTCGTAAAGCTTATATCCTCTTCTTTCATTTGATGCAACTAATATGATGCATATTTCACGCATGGGGGATTAAAAAACAAGTTTAAAAGAGGAAACCTAAATGTCATTTGGCGGTCGGTATATGAATTTCAAAGAGAAAATGACATTTCTAGAAAGCTCATTTTCTGCCCATTCATATGACACTTTTTCTGAGACGCACTGTACAAGAATACTTGTAATCCGAAGATGATATAATATGCTGACACTTGAACTTTAAATTTATATGCATGATTTTATAACATAAATAGAATTAAGATGGCAATCAAAGCAAGAACAAAATAAGCCTTTAAAAACATACAATGATGCGTAATAATTGTGCCACATGTTGATTATAATAAAAGATACACTTTAACATGCACTTGAAAACTTATGACCTACCTTTAAACTTTGGACTGGGATAAACATTAGTCATAAAGATGTAGCATTTGTTATTGATAACAAGTTTTATGGAACAGGGTCCACAAACCCAGTATTATAATAATAAGGAATTTTATCGCACGTAGGGCGATATAAATAGTTTACGACCATCAAAGACAGCACCCGTCAGGCCGTGCGGCATCTCTTTTGTGGTGAGCTTTAGCGGCATCTTGAGAGAAAACAATAACATGCAGGCGCCCTTTGTGTCAGAATCTTTCATGTGCACGTAGCTATAAACGGAAATTGTGTGCGGTATGTTTCGAATCTATATATGGAATTGTATTAGCCGGGATGTATTGTGTTCCCACTGTGCGGGCTTGAGAATCCTCATTCACCTTGCGGATTTGGTAGAGGATGGATGTAGAAATTAATCGGTGGCAAATTAATTTACCTTCCACCACCCCCAATTTGATTTTCCACCTCCTTCGATATATTCGATAGTATGTTTTACTAATATTAAGTGGTCAGGAAGTGTGTCAAGTCAGGGACGGATCCAGGGGGGGGGGGGGGGGGGCACAGGGGGCACGTGTCCCCCCCCCCCCCCCCGGCCAAAAAAAAATATGTTAAAACCAGCCCTAAATTCGCCCAAAATGTACTGAAAACCAGGGGCGTGCCCTCCCGACCCAAAGAAATTTATTTTAAAAATTATTAAAAAAAAAAAAATTAAAAATGCCAATGGCTGACCTAACGGAGCAAAATGTCAAATTTAAAAATTTCGTGACCAAAAAAAAAAAGTGTCTTCTTACCCCCCCCCCCCCCCTCCCCCCCCCCCCCCCCCTATTTAATCTCAATTAAATCTCTGAAAAGCCATTGTACTCCACATAAAATGATATCATCAGGTAGATGGCTAGTTGTTAGGTCGAAAACTTCCGACTGTCAAAGCTTTAGATTACGAGTTTCTAGAGAGATGTTACTTCTCTGACAGACACTAAAATAAAACATATTTTATATTCAGTAGACTTAAGGTTGCACCATGTGAGAGAGCTGGGGGAGGATACAAGAAAGAGCCCTAATTTTTTTTTTTGCACCCTACAATTTGAAAAATCGTACCCCCCCCCCCCCCGAATCCGCCACTGATATGGCTCATAAGCTTTCCGTTCATATATAATGTATTCTCATAAATTTCTTAAATCCGAAAATGGTCTTTGACACGAACAATAACAAGTTCAGTCACGTAGTAGAAAAATACACATGTAAACAAATAGTTGATGTAATAATATGACTATCCAATATATCATACCAGGGAGGTGAAAGAAAAGGAGGCGAAACTCTTGTAATTTATTCAAACGCATTCTTGAGTTCTAAAGCGTAACAATGGGATGTGTAACATTCCACTTGGCTTTGAAGTTCCATGCTCCGAACCGCGCTTCCACTGCGGGGAATTTCGAAAGCCAGGCACCAGTTTTACATTTATTACAAAATATTAAATTACCGGCAAAATTTCAGTGTAAATCAAAAAACTTTATATGGGGATTTTATTGGGAATAGTGCATCAAACAAATTTTCAAATTTAGAACTCCGTCCTTTCTTTAATTTGTGTGCCAGAGTTGGTAAAAGAAAAATTACATCCTGTCAAAAACTCAATATTTTAGGATGATGCGCTAATTTGTGCATGCTTTAATGTCCCGTTATTTGATCCATGATTTACAATCTTCAATAACATTAAGTTTGCTAATGCGTGTTTTCGCGTGTTTTTTGTATTTTTCAAGTTTAACAAAGGATGAAAGTACACAAGTTTGTGTTCGCTCGTTCTACTCTTTACACATTCAACAATGGATGAGAAATCATTGGAAGGGACAGCGAACAGTTGCAGTGATACCATTTTCTGATGTAGGAATTCTAAATCCTGAAATTTCATGCGCTCTTTTATCTCACCACCTGGTCAACAGTTGCAGATTAGCGCATAACTTTTCGGCGGCTTGGAGCATGGGGTCAAAGGAGAGCGGCTTTATTCCTGTCCTTCTCTATCACGTCCCTGATCATACGCAGGCAGTCATATAAGCAGATAAGAGAGTATTGATCAAAGACATTATAAAACACGGTTCAACATCCTACACAAGTGTGTGGGTATGAGAACGTGATACTTCCCTATCAGGGCCCCAAGGACATGAACATGACACAAAGGGTCCAAAGACTAAAAGAATCCCGGCAGAATTTTTTTTCCCGCTTTGTAGGTCACTTTATTACGGCTTTATTACTAAGCACCCTTGTTCATTCGAAAGATTTATTCACAATACATAATATTTCAGAGGTATTTTTTTTTAATTTGTAGCGAACACGAAGAAGGCGTCCCCAAAAGAGGCCCTTTTAACGCAAATAGTATTTTATGAATAAAATTTTAAGGAAATCTTAAACCACCATTAATTTGGTGTCATACGAAAGAAAAATAAATTATCTACATTTTGATGGAATTAGGACGAACTTATATCTGAAATTTAGGTTAAAAAACATAATTTTTGGTGGCTTTTTGATTCCAACAAAAACTATATTTTTGCCCACACACGTATGCATATACGTGTATTAGTGTATTAAGGACAATAGATTTGGTGTCAACAGATACATAATCAAAATACCTTCAAGTTGATATCAATTTCATTGAGTTATGTAGTGTGTGAAATATAAATGTTGAGCCTAAAAAGGTGCTTTTGGGGGAGGTATTTTTCCTTTTAATTTTGGCCGGTGTCTCGGTATATTAACTTTACAAAAGTGATTGAAAATTTAGCATTGGAGAAAGTTCAAAGGATTTGGAATGCTGAATGCAGTTGATAAGTAGTTCTTCTGTAGTGCATTGGCAGCTTCCCCCCCCCCACACACACACACACACACACACTATCAACTATAAAATATTTGGCGCCTCTCTCTACCTGACCAGTTAGCTAAATCTTGTCATGGTAAAGACAAATATTTCATCATAATCAAAGAAGGAAACTATTTTAAAAATCCTGCTTCCTATTTAGCTGGGATTATATAGACAGCCTACGAGACCAGCAGGTCTCTTGAACCCTCAGAAAGATTGTCAGAATGCCCATAAACCTGACATACCGGTCTTGGGAATCCTCAGGTCATTTTTCAGAAGAACATGCAGGATGCTGGAGCGTTAAAGTGGTGTATTTGGATATCAAGTCTGAGCCAAAAATGTGTTGTTTTTGCCATTATTGAAGAAAAATCATATAGAAATGAATAAGTTTTACTCCTGAAAACTGATCTGTATGAATTTCCTCCTTTAATTTGTTGTTTAGTTGCGTTTATAGCTGATACCTTTATTCTCTCAAATTAAAATTAATTATTTGTTAAGTTGGAAGGAAACATTTCTTATCTTAAAACCATTAGAATACAGTTTATCGAACTGATATTTATTTATTTTATAAACATACATCTATGTACAAAAAGAATGTGTATATACATTTTAAAATAAGAAATAGTTTTTTATTAAAATAGTGAAAGGAGTCTTACTTTCACATGTGATGAGGGCATTACTGTGATAACTACATGTATATATATAGATCTAGTATTCCATGAGTCGTGCATTCGTCTGGTTGCAAGAGACATCGTTCCAAGGCGCCCAACAGGGGTGCCAATATTAATGCCCAAACTAATGTCCCAAACCGAATCCCAGTACTTGTATAGAGTTTAAATAATAATTTGTTCGCACCCGAAATTGTTGGATTTGAATGTTGTCTTGCAATTTCAACATATCATCCCAAGGACAACAAATGTCATACTGGCTATTTGTCATCCCAGTTGGGGCGTGGCCTAGGGTACTCGTACATGTATTTAGAGATAAACTTGAGTTCTGGTTAAAAAAAAAAAAAAAGGAAAATAAATTCTCGTAGAATCAAACGAAACTTACACTGAATGTTCAAGTTTACAAACAAAGGTCAGTTGCCAAACGAATTTGATAGAAAATGTTTACTGACTGAGTAATGAGCATAGAAAGAAAAGGAAATCAAGGTTAGTAGCCCCGACACCATTTGTGTAGTCCCATATACATCCTTCTGTGTAAAGTGCTTGTTACTTTACCAAGACTGGGTCAAATATATTTATGAATTTTGCAATACACAATCAAAAGCTTAGTGTATTGCTCCGACCGACAGGAGAGGATTT